TTATTTTAATTTTTTATATGTTAAAAAGTTAACACAACTCCAATGTTGCCTAATATTCTTATCTGATGCATGCTATATACATGACCTTTTGTCTTGGAAGACGATTACGAAGGGTGAAGTATGGCGTCGCCTGTATCGACTCCTACATCACAAGGTTCAACCCACGGCTCTAATGACTACCCTAGCAGCCCTTAGTCTTAGGCAACCATTTATTGCAGCTTATATACTTAACTCAAATATTCAGCCACATTTGTGGCACTATCGTTTAGGACATATATCAGAATCTCAAATGAAACTTATTTCAAATAACTCTATTGTTTCTCATTATAAGAATGCTAGTGATATTCCTTATTTTATCTGTCCATTAGCAAAACAACACAAGACACCTTTTCCCACAAGCACACATAAAACTAAACAATTTTTTGACATCATCAATTGTGACATTTGGGGTCCATGTCCTACTACAACTCGTGATGGATCTAGGTCCTTCCTCTCTATGGTAGATGATTTTTCACGAGCCACATGGGTATATATGCATAAAAGGAAATCAGATGCTAGCCACTCTGTTAAAGCATTCATCCATATGATTGAAAACCAGTTCCAAATTACAGTAAAAACTTTGAGAAGTGATAATGGCCCTGAATTTAAACTGATTGACTTTTACAACTTGAAATGAATCAATCATCAAAAAAGCTGTGTTGAGACCCATCAACAAAATGATATAGTTGAAAGAAAACATCAACATTTAATAAATGTAGCCAGAGCATTGAAATATCAATCTGGTCTTTCTCTGTTTTATTGGAATGAGTTAATCCTTACTGCCGCATATTTAATAAACAGAACCTCCACCCCACTACTGCAAAATAAATCACCATTTGAGGTGCTATTCAAGATCACACCAACTTATTCTCATTTTAAAATTTTTGGATGCCTCTAAGTTGATACACGGGAGAAGAAAATTTGATCCTAGGGACGCCAATGTGTTTTCTTAGGATACCCTTTTGGAGTTAAAGGCTATACGGTGATGGATTTATAGACAAGAGCCATCTTCATATCTCAAGATGTTGTATTCCATGAAACATATTTCCTTACAAACAAACTGCAAAGCCTACCAATAAATCTGAATTTGTCTTCACCAAACCACTTCTAGGCATTACCTGCTATACACCTGTATCACCACCAGATACAATGTCCCATCCACATGAAATACGCACATCTGATTAGAACATATCAAGCAATTCTCCATCTGATAATACTCTCATCTATCACCTCTCACACCACCCATCATTCGAAAATCCACAAGAGTCAAAAGAGCTCCTCAGTACTTGCAAGATTTTCATTGTCAGCAAGCCACATCAACTCAACCATTCCAATCATCTCTCAATACAAAACATCTAGGCTCTACAGGTGATGCTTTTCCCCTCTCTAACACTATCTTATCATAAATTATCGCCTCAGTTTAAAGCATTTTCATCTTCCATTTGCACACACTTTAAACCTAGTACTTATCATCAAGTAGTGACTGATCCTAATTGGTGTAAGGCAATGAATTCAAAGATAAAGGACCTTAAGTTAAACAAAACCCAGATTCTCACAGATCATTCACTAGGAAAGGTAGCAATTGGATGCAAATGGGTGTATAAACTGAAACACAATTCAGATGGAAGCATTGAAAGGCACAATACGAGACTTTTAGCCAAAGGGTATACATAAAGAGAAGAGATAGACTACAATAAGATCTTCTCACCGGTTGCAAAGCTAGTCACTGTTCGAAACCTATTAGCTGTAGCAACAGTTCAGAATTGGCATTTAAAACAATTTGACGTCAGCATTACTATCCTACATTGCATTTTACATGAAGAGGTTTACATGCAGAAACCACCTTGCTACACAAAAAGAACTTCCAATCAAGTTTACAAGCTGTTGAAAGGCATATATGGTCTGAAACAAACTTCAAAGCAATGGTATTCCACATTCACAATAGCCCTCATCCAATTTGGTTTTTCCCAGTCCAAGGCTTACTAAAGTCTTTTCACTATGGTGACAAACCATTCATTTACAACCTTACTTGTCTATGTAGATGACATTGTAATAGCTAGTTCTAATTTGGGACAAATTGATGCAGTTCAAAGATTCTTCAGTAGCAAATTTAAGATTAAAGCATTGGGTGACTTGAAGTACTTTCTTGGTCTTGAGGTTGCAAGATCAAATAAGGGAATTTTTATCTCTCAACGCAAATATACTTTGGACTTATTGGCTAATGCAGGGTTCCCTTGGGGCTAAACCAATTAAACTTCCTATGGACCAGAATTTGACGTTAAGGAAAAACACAGGAACGACACTACCTGATCCCACCATTTACTGAAAACTAATTGAAAAGTTAATGTATCTATCTGTGACTGGACCTGATATATGTTATGCAATTCAGAACCTCAGTCAACATATGATAGTTCACTCTTATTATGTTATGCAATTCAGAACCTCAGTCAACATATGATAGTTCACTCTAAATCACATCTTGCTGCATTTCACATAGTAATCAAATATCTTAAGTTAGCACCAGGACAAGGCCTCTTATTTTCATCTTCATACTCACTGACCGTTCGAGCATTTTGTGATTCTGATTGGGGAGCTTGCCCTGATTCTCAAAGATCAATTATTGGATATTATATATTTCTTGGGAATTCACTGATTTCTTGGAAATCCAAGAAGTAAAGCGTGGTATCTTGATCATCTGCTGAAGCAGAATACAGATCAATGGCTAGCACATGTTGTAAGATCACATGGTTAAAATATATTTTGAAAGACTTTCAAATTCATCACTCCCAACCAGTTACTTTATATTGTGATAACTAGGCAGCATTACACATTGCCTCCAACCCTATATTTCATGAAAGAACTAAACACATCGAGCTGCATTGTCATTTAATTAGAGACTAATTCGAAGCTAGCCACATCTCCACATCTTATGTTCCTACTCAAACACAACTTGCTGATATGTAACCAAGGTGCTCTCTTCCATCACTCTCAAGTTGCATTTATCCAAGATGGGAATAGAGAATATCTATTCTCCATCTTGAGGGGGCTGTTAAAGAGTTTAGTGTATATATAGTGTATATAAAGGGTATAATGTACTGTATAGTGTAGTTAGTATGATTTTGCCTCCAAGTGTCCCTCCAGCTGTGTGTTAGTTACAACACTATTGCACATGGTTAGCTGATGAATAATTCATTTGGTTGTATAGTTTGTTAAGATATCACTTTACTTATTTACCCTTTTGTCTTCTATATATTTGGGCGTGTATCATCACTACGATATGAGAAGATCAATTACTGATTCATTATTTCTAATATATCAGCTCCTTCATCATCTTCATTATGCTGTTTCTACTTACAATTGGAAATCACACTACAACCAAACTCAGTGAGATGTTTTGCCTTACCTTCATTAAAGTGCATACACACTTTGATACCATATTTAACTAATTCATTTGAAATGTTAATCTCTTAGAAGAAGAATAATAATTTTATCAATTTAAATAATAGAAGAAATTGATGCAGCGACAAATAAATATAAAAGTATATATGGCTCAATGAGTGTCCCAAGTTCGGAATGCATCCCAATAAAACAAAATCAGGTGGCATTCCGCCGACGGAAGAAGACAAAGGGCACATGCTCTATTCATATAGAAAACAGAGCTTCCTGCGTTTTTAAAGCGATTAGATAATGTTTGTTAATGAACAAAAGTTGACAGAGATCGAGGTTGATGTAATTATTATGTTCGAACGTATAATATAAATCTACAAAGGTCAAAGAAAAACTCATTGTTTCATGTTTTATATATCACTAGATTACTACTCAAATCACAGTAGCAAATGTCATTAGACTATTTCACTTGTGGTCTTATCTTGATGGGATGGGATATATTAATGAATGATGCTTAGTTTAATTTTGTGTTTCTTGATGAAATATAAGGTTTGTCCATTTTATCTTTCAAAAAGATGGACGTGTATGGATTTTAAAGGTAAATTGGACTGTTTTAACAATGGAAGTTGAAGACCAACTTAATATTAGGACACAGGTTCAACGTCAATGGTGAAATTTTTCCAATTTATGATGATGATGCTTTTTTTTTTTTTTTTGTACTTTCAAAAATGAAATATGCATTAGGTAGACAGACACGAAAAAGTAATAAAATTAGAAAAATATATTACATATGTAATAATTTTATCAACTTCTGATGTATTAGCTGCGTCACACTATTCAATCACTAGTTGTTAATTAAATAGACGTTTTGGAAGAATAAATCTAATTTGGAAAGCTAACGTTTGCATATTATAATCTAGAGCTAAAGAATATTGCAATTAAAAAGGGCATCTTATAATTGTGACTTGTGAGGCATTATTTATTGTCCTATCGATTTCTATTTATATTGACCACAAAATCAATCAAATAAATGTTTGCGCCTCTTTATATGTTTGAGATTTTTTATGACGTGGTTTCACATGGCTTCAAAACTAGCAAAAATCTTAATTTCGAGTATCTCTACAACATATTCATGAAAATTATGCTCATATAATACTTTTTGGTTCAGAAATGAGTATGATCTTCATGCAAAGAACATGTTGAAGATTGAGCCCCTTTTGGCCTTCATTTTTCTGAAAATCATCTTCTCCCCAATTTTTCAACCATGCATTTCATCTCTATAATAGTTAAACTTTTAGACAGGTTGTTTCTTACATCAAAAACGCCTTAAAGTTGTCTTATAGTAAACAAAAAAAAAAAATCTTGACTTAACAAGTTGAGTCGTGATGATACAAAGCCATCCAAGTTGTTCGAGAATCTTGGCTTTCATTATTGAACTTAATCAACCTTATTCTATACGATGTCTTTTCCCCATTTTTGGAGATTTATTAATGTTGCAGTCTTGCAGCCCTCCAAGATTTCATACAAAATAGGGCAAAAATAAACTGGAAAACTAGTTACGATAATCATTGAATATGGATTCCTCAAAGGGCACACCTCCTTTCCAACAAGAAGATAATACCTTACGATTCAATAGTGTTGCTAAGGAAGAAGCTAAAAAAGAAAAACAGTATATTGGGGTCCGAAAGCGGCCATGGGGAAAGTTTGCAGCAGAAATAAGGGATTCGACGAGGAATGGAAGGAGGGTTTGGCTTGGAACATTTAACAGTGCAGAAGAGGCTGCATTGGCATATGACCAAGCTGCATTCGCAATGCGGGGTTCATTGGCTTCCATTAACTTCCCCATTGATATTGTGAAGGAATCACTATTCAATATTAAATACAGATGCAAGAATGGTTCATCCCCAGCTGCAATCCTAAAAGAATCATACAAACAAAGAGGTAAATTCATAAAGAAACAAGTTACCGAAGAAGAAGTGTTGGTGTTTGAGGACTTGGGGCCTGATCTATTAGATGAGCTACTATCTCAAAGTTCAGGTAAGTGAGTGAAACAAAGCTTCTTCTTAATATTGGTATGAATAAATTAAATCTTACTCATAACTTTGTTTGAAACCTAGCTACTACATCTCTTCTTTTATATCATTGGGTAGATAACTCGTTCGAGTCCATGTTGTTTAATTTTGTTTAATCACTACGTGGTGCGAATAGGGCATAAACAGCATGATTATGAATTCAAAGCGTCTCAAATCAAGAAAGTTGGTGCTGCGGTTGAAATCTTTAAAACCTAATCACATACCTTAATTAAATTGCATCCCTATTCTCTCAACACGCATAGCCCAACTTATATAAAAACATAATATCAAATAAAATATTAAACATTAAACTGAAATAAATAAAGCGCTAGGACAGAATAAAATCTTGTACAACATCATTCTTTTAGTGTTTGAGAGGATTCGTCTGCCATATTCATCACTTGTTGGGCTATGTTGATACCACATTAAATAAGTTTGTGCAAAAGATATTAACAAGTTCGTCCAATTCTACAAATTCATTGTCCCCTTCTACAAGTACGTCCATCTTTTGACATAAAATTTTGCACATTCAGGACCCAAAATGTTTTCCTGTATCTGGGAGGTTATACAGCACATTGTATCGTGATTCTTTGAAAACCCGCAAGTGCACGGGATCGTGGTTAAGTAATATAATGATGAATAATGTGTCAAACCTACAAGGATTATGTGTTTGACGGAGTTACAATTAATTGCAACTTTAATCGAATAACAAACAAGCTTTGTAAATTATAAATTAAACTAATGAAANTACAAGGATTATGTGTTTGACGGAGTTACAATTAATTGCAACTTTAATTGAATAACAAACAAGCTTTGTAAATTATCAATTAAACTAATGAAAGTCAGTAAATATATTTTTCAAATATGTAAGATGCATTGCTAAGATATCGAATCCCCCCTTATTATTCCATTTTTAATGTAACAATTAAAGTGACAATTTGAAATCATTCATATTGGTCAATGTTTTTAATTTAATTGAAAGTCTCTTTCGATAGCGATCAAATCTATTCATCTCATATGACCCTTCTATCTTTCAATAAAAGATACAAACATGATAAATGCAATAACAAGTGTTAGAACACCTATTAAAATCATATAAAACACAGAAGTTTATCTCTATTCTCTATCGAACATTACAATATTTGTTATATTGTGCTTAAATCCTATTATCTCTCTCGATAACGATAAAATTAACTAATAATTCAATTGATAATCAAGCAATTGAAAAAAACGATAAAAACAATAATAAACATTCATAAATCAAATCCAATACAATTAAAGTCAAAATAATTAATTAAAAACTAAAAATATCATAACAATGGTTCATTTAATCCTAACAAAGCATAAATCTAGTATAACGTATCGAAATTATAAGAAATTATATTTTAGTAAAAAGATAGAACCTAGATTTTTTTATAAATTGAGAAGATGAATTTTGAAATCTTGAATCTCTTCAATGGTTTCTTGATGAATCTCCACTTGTGCCATCTCTTCTTTGCTCACAAACAAAGTTTGAATCTTTACTTGATTGAATTCTTGCAAATCTCATTCAATTCTCTCACTAAAACTATAAATTTTCCTCCTTTGATGATAATAATTAATGAATATTGGAGTATAAAATGTATATAAGAGTTGTATAATATGTATTCTACTGTTAGGTATTTGTAAAGTAGAAAATTGGTTGTAAATCAATTCCAAATTGGTTCCCAAAAAAATTCTAATCGAATAAAGAAAATTATCTTAGCCCGTAAATTTTTTTTGTCTCTACACAACAGTTAGTATTTTAGCCATAACTTTCTCTCTTGATATTCGATTGAGGCAATTCAAAGTGTGTTGGAAAACTAACTTAAAGGGCTACAACTTTCCTAGAAACTAGAATGTTTCCAATTCGGGCATTTATTATGCCAAAAATGGGTCTCAATCTTCAACTAAAAATATGGAATATAACTTTTGCGTTTGAAAATTGATTATGATAATATTTTGATTATATTCTATTACTTTTTGAATTCTCATTTCATCCAATTGTCTCCTAACAATTTTCAAAGTATCTTCTTATAGTCAGAATTAACTATTGAATTTTTACAATTTGTTTCTCAAATTTTAGATTTTGTCTTTTTTTTCCTTAATTTTTCTTTTGTTTCTTCCAATTCCTTGTTCAACAATTGAGTTTTACCTATATAATATAAAATACAACAGTTTAGAATATATTTTGTCAAAAGAACTATCAAATATCGATATTTTAGGCCCCCGAATAAGTGTATAAAACACACTTATCAAATATCTCAAAACTTAAATATTTGTTTGTCTTTAAACAAAATTATAATCTAAATAACTACAACCACACAAGCATGCAAAAATATTTGGTTAAAAACTCTAGCTTATTATCTTAGTATTTGAAATTACAATACTAAATCTACAAACTTAATATTTGGTTAGACAATCTAACTTTTACATCAAGATTTGAAATTGCCATATTAAATCTACAAATTGTTTCAAAGTCACAATATCAAATCAATATTCACTTTACCATTGCAAAACTAACATGTATGTGTGAAGAATTAAGTAGACAATCATTGTAGTCAAATATATCATTTCAACTCTCGTATGATTCACACACCACCAATCTTATTTTTTTTTTTTTACTCTTTTCTTCGTGTGCAATCTAAGATTGAATTTTTCATTAATATTATTCATTTCTCTAGTTCAGGTGGACTCTACTAATTGTAAGTCAACACATCAATAAATAAGGATTCTTCAATTTTTTTATTGTTTCAACATATAGGACTAAACTAGACTAATAATCTATCATCAAAAGTCAAGTCTTCTCAAATAAATGTTTGGGACTTAATTAGGGCATTTGGTGCGTCTTCTGTTTCATGCACCTACTTTTTTTCAAATTTACCCTTTTTTTTTTTTTTTGCACTCTCTCCCGTAAATTTTCTATATGACCCATGTAACGAGTTTTTAGTCAATAACTCTCAAATCAGATGATTTTAGGTCACCATGTTTTAAGTACCCTAGCAGGCTTAATAACTCGATTTATAAAGGCTACAAAAAGATTCATTTTATATATTTTTCTACCCCTGATTAGCACTATACCCCTCATTAAATACCTATCTAATCAAAATGACCTTCAACTTAAGACTTTTGCCCAATTTTATCCTATTAATCCAAGACAATCCACACATAAATTTTCACACAAGGAATCTCAAATTACATCTGTATCTTCCTACAACCGTAAAATCATCCCAAATTATGCTAAATTTGGTCTAATGATCATTAATATAGGATAGTTTTGGGTATAACATCTATGTTCAATCTATCAACATATCCAGCATATGAATCAACTTATTGCATCGTGATGAAAAACTCAATTCTAGTGCACATATATACTAAAACAATAACACTCAAAAATACACGAAAAGTAAAAATACAAAGTTTTTCCTACTCCCGAACTTAAAATTGACACAGTCCTCAATGTCATAAACCATAAGTAAGAATATAAGGGGTGGGGAAAAAAAGGAAAACGGTACTCCTCGAATTTTTTATTGAATGTGTGATGAGCTATTTGTCAATTTAACGCAACTTGTACTTTGCCAAGCTCCCTCCAATGTCAATATACATGGTACCTATCAA